AAGGTGAGCGGTTTTCGCATAATAGAGAGCTCGGAATGCAGACGTGCTATGGTCATTGCGGGGTGCGTAAGACTTGGTCGTTAGGTATGCTGCCGCAGCCAGCATAAGGCAACCAAAGAAGACAACAACGCGACACTACTCTGCAAGAGACATTAGCAGTACAGGAACTTCCTTGCCAGGTCCTCTATCTGTGCGTACAGCCGCTCTTGCGCGCCGGCAGAAAGTGCCTAGGCATGGCTCACCCTGCAATGGGTTTCAAGGTATCGCTGCAAAGAAGGAGCGGCCTGCGACTCCTGAACGGAAAACACAGACCTGCCGCTCTTAGAGTTGTGGCAGCAGGTATAGCAATGTGACATAAGCTTCGCGATTTTCTGGAGGCTGGAGCTTCGCAGTCCGGAATGTTCTCCATGAGCTAAGAACTGCGCTAGTCGCAATCCAGGTCTGTGCAAGCGACCTCGACAGCCTGGAGCCGTGCCTTCCGCGCTCCTGGCCGAAACACGATCCTCGACAGCTGAAACCCACAACGCCAGGACAGCCCCGACACCAGCGTCTTGACGATGTTTGGTAGTCCTTTTCGTGTGCTCACCGTGACGCGATTAGCCCAGCGCCACACCTCCGTTGCACATTGAGCGAATGGTAATGCTCATCAGCTCCGTGCCCCTGGCGGCACTCCTTATAGTATCAGCATCGCATGCCTGCGAAGTTAACTACAGTGGCGAAACGGGTTGGCGTCTGAGGGTGATGAAGAAACGACGAAACATTGCAATGCTTTTGCAAAATCAATATAGGCGTTCATGCTCGCTAGCACTAACTTTCTTTACTTGACCGTCGTCATTCCAGCTTTCTCACGCACGCATACAGCAAGATGACCACTTTTCTCAACTCCCCAACCACTCCCCGACCCGCACACACCTTCTACTATGACGACAGCGCATCTCGAAGCCACAAGGCAAACCTGTCTGGCGCAACTATGCTGGACTTGTTGAGTGGCCCCGAAGGATCCATCGCCGCAGCCTATGAGTCCTCGAGCGTGCATCAGCGTTCTTCCAGGTCGAGACGGCCATCCCAAACCTCGATTACCAAATCTCAATTGCGCCAGACGAACCGCACTCTAATCGAAATCATCCACAATGTTCAAGCCGAGCTAGCGACACAGAGAGAGGCAATGCTTGACATGCAAACACGGATCCTTCAGCTTGAAAGTGCCTCGCAAATATACAACCAGGACCTTGGCCCGCGTCATACGATCGCCGGCCACCGCAAGCGGTCTCAAATCAGAAGCGCAGAGGGCGCTGCTCGCGAAACGCAGGGACGTTGGGACGTATACCAGAAAGATGTAGACATGCTTGGCCCTCCTCTTATCGCGAACGAGTTCTGGAAGTCACCTAGCCGTTTTTCTGGCTTCAACTTCAATTTCGATCTACTTGAGACGATACCGAAGTCTCTACATCCCCCTCCTCCAGGTGTGGATGATGTTCCGAGTCTTTCACCAGATGAGCAGCCAGAAACATATACGCCGGGGCTTCGCCGGATTCCCGCCAGAATTACCCGGATCAAGACATCCGATCCCACTACGATGTATCATGATGCGGTGAGCGACATCAAAGAACACGTCGTGGAGTTCGACAAAATCAATGCCCCCATGCCTGTCAAGCTCCAGACACCGCCACGAAGTTCACGGAGCAAGTTGACATCGATGTACAGCCGGGATGATGAAATTACGGCATTGCCCCGGATTCCCTTCCAGCCGGCACCAAGCACACATAACTCACATCGCAGCTTGATGGGTATCAAAAGCTTGCTATTGTACAGGACATCATCGAGGAGTCAGAAATCTGACTACCCTCCATCGGATCATCGACGTTCAGGCTCTTCTTTACGCTGTTGAGTACAGGTTGGCATCGCAGCGCAAAAGTGACGTTTGTATTGGTAGCAAGAGAACCGAAGAGAAAGGAACTATGAATTAGAGTCGAAAGGGAATGGTTCGCGATAGACGTGTACGTGTTATGAGGAATCTATTACGCTGTGTTACCATCGCCGTTAGTCTGGACCACAGCTTCCAACGCTTTCTTACAAGTTAAGTGCGCCATTCCGAAATATAGTTCAGAGAAATGCATACAACATGTCACCCGAATGGGCTCTTTCATCATGATTGTGAAGTGACAAATGCATGACCTCGTGGACGAGGCGAATAGCGTGAACATGCCTCGGAGTTAAGGCGGCTTGGCATTTCTCGCGCTTTCCACCACGCAAAACGTCATTACCCGTTACATATATCATCGCGCCGCCCTCCACCTTTCCACCGACAACGACATCGCAAAGGCACACACACATCATGGCGTCCCTCTTACGGAGACCCTTCGCCATTACGGCAACATTGCGACAAGCATCGCCGAAAGCACCGCAAACCCTCGCGATCCGCGCATTCCACAACACGCCACTGAAGCAGCAGTCGCACTTCTTCCGCCCCGCAAAGCCCACGGTATCGACATCGCACAATGTTTCCAAGTTCCAGCAAGCGTTCCGACGCGGATACCAGCAGGCTGCATACAACCCGGTGGCGCAGGGCGACTTGCGACAGCGCATGCTGTATGGAGCCGGCATCTTCGGTGCCACCCTTTTAGGCATCAACTTTATCTTCAACCGCGAGACCCGCGAGGACGGTGGCATGCCGCCATTCGAGCGCGAATACCTCAACGACACCTTCATGCACACTGGCCTCGGTATTGGAATGATCGGCATTGCTGCCCGCGCGCTGCACATGAACGGCTGGAGCTTCAGGCTCATGAGCGCAAACCCATGGCTGGTACTTGGAGTTGGCCTGGTTGGAAGCATTGGCACAATGTATGGCACGATGGCTACCTCGCCGTCTAAGTAAGTGTGGAATGGATATTGCTTCGAAGAGTAGATATGCTAACCCGACGCAGCTACGTCCAAAAGTACGCCCTCTGGACTGCCTTCAACGGTACCCAAGCCCTCCTCCTATCTCCCCTCTTCTTCATGCACCCTGCCATCCTCGCCCGCGCCGGTCTCTACACTGCTGGAATGATGGGTTCAATCGCTTTCGTTGGTAAGTTTTGGCCCGTACGAAGTACATGTAAGACACACACTGACTTTGTATCTTCAGGTGCAACCGCGAAGACAGACAAGTACCTCTACCTGGGTGCACCGCTTTTGGGCGGCGTGGCCATTGTCGCGCTCTCTGGTCTCGCTCCACTCGTCATTCCCGCCACCGCTGCCCGCACACTTATGTTCACCGAGAACATCTGGCTATACGGTGGACTTGCCGTATTTGGAGGTGAGTTCTGACTGTACGAAGTGCATATGAGACATATACTGACTTCGTACCTCTACCTCTGCAGGCTTTACATTGGCAAGTGTTAACTGTACGACATGCACGTGAAAAAAATACTGACTTCTCTGCAGTACGACGTACAAAAAGTATTGAACCACGCCCGCCAGGCTGAACGTGGCTTGATACCGAAAGATCCTGTAAACGAGTCTATATCACTGGAACTGGACTTCATCAACATTTTCGTCCGCATGGTTCAAATTCTCGGAATGAGCCAGAACAGGAGGAAATAGACAAATCTTGAGGCTATTTCACGAGGATTATCGCATGTTGGATTCGGGGATTCGCTGGTCCTTCTTGCCCGTTAAATATGTTGAGTCTTTATTACAACTGCACACTACTCCTCTCTTTGGTCGGAGCCACTTTTACATACCAAAAATGAGCAAAAATAATCGAAAACAATCATATCGTGCCCTTCTCCCTTCTCTTGCCCATCGCATGGCTTTGTGCATATTAAGAAACAACATCGTGATATCTATTAGCTAGATTGAGAATACTCAGGAATTTATGCGTTTAGATCGCTACGATGGCACTCGAATCACGGGCTCGTACCTCACTTCTTGGCCATCTACGCCTTCCACTCCGCGAAGAGCGTCTTGCCGCCCGACATTCCCAGCGATTTGGTGAACTCGTGAGCATTGGCAGCGCCTCCCTTGGACCGCAGCGGGAGTGCGCGAGGAGGCTTAAGTGTGTCCTTGTGTTCAGGCACCACAGCTCCAATCTCAGCCTTCTCATTTTCCTCTGCAACTTCCTCCTCCTGCGCTTTCTCCTTGCCTTTGTCTTTCTCCTCCACCTCATTTCTCTCCAGATCAGTCATACCAAGAAGAGGCTTCATAGGCTTCTCCTCATTCTCCTCCTCATCTTCGTCCTCGTCTTCGTCCTCGCTCTTCTCCTCATCTTCGTCTGTATGTGCCGTCCCAGCTCTCTCCGCATCAGTCATACCAGTAGGAGAATCGATGAGCTTTTCTTCAACTTCATCTAGCTCCTCGCGAACTAAGGCTAGCATCTCTAGCAAGCCTGTGTCGTTTTGGTATCTTGCCTTCACTTACGTTTTAGCGTGAATCTCGAACACTCTCTACACACTGACATACCTGAAACAATGTTCTCTCGTACATGTCCTCCGCGAACAAACGCCAATATTCTGCCTCCTCCCAATTGTCCTCGGCGCAGGCAATTAGGAGAGAGTTCTCGATGATCCAGTACGATGATATGTAGAAGGCCTGGAGGTTCTTTTTCGCTTGCGCGATGCAAATTTCCGGGTCGACAGCGAAGAGGTCGCTCGCGGCCTGGTATGCCTCTTCGCTCGTCTTCTCCGGCATCGTGAGACTCGTAAAGTGCGTCAGTCGTGGCTGAAAGGGTCAGAGAATGCGGGGTGTGGTGAAGGTGAGAGAATATCGCGGACAAACCATCGAAATTCGCGCCAATCCCCAGCAAACGCGCGACGGGTGCCTGCTGCGCACAAACCTTTGCTCTAGATAGACAAAATTCATGAAAATCTCTGCCAGTAGGAAATTTATCTGTAATATTTGGGAGCGCCTTGCGCCCGGCCGACCTGCAGCCTATGCGATCTCCATCACGGCCCATCCGTCTCCTCTGCGTAAGATTTTGTTCAAAGCTGTTCTCATTATGTATACTGACGACAAACAGCATGGAATCTCGCTCGCTGAGAAGCCGGCGACCCCCCAAGGTGAGTGCACCACCCACGACCCAAGCGGGTGGCCATCTAGAGTCCAACTCCCAACCACTCGATGATGACAGTGACGTATACATTCAGAGCCTCTACGACGACAGTGATGAAGATATCCAACAATTCAACGATGAAAGCGATGAGTCTTTCCTTCCTGCTGGCAAGCCAACACGCAAGCCAGCCCGCAAGCCAATCCGCAAGCGTGCTACCCGGAAGGACAAGGGCTCGACAGCCACGAACGACCAGCCACAACAGGAAGATGGCGATGATTACGAAGCTGTTTCTCGCGCTACGACCAGCCGCCCCAACAAATGTGTCGCCCGTAAGAATAACAATCCTGGAAAGACGAAGCGGCGGATGTTCCACAATCGACGCATCGGTCAGACGAAAGCTTCCAATGACAGCACGAAAGACAAACAGTCTGGCGACGTCGTCGCAGAGGAATTAAGCCTCTTATCTACTCCAGAGACTCGCAACATCAACGCCTTGCTCCATGCTCTCAATGAGCCTCCAGGGTTGAAGGTCAAGACAGAGGTGCGGCCGACCGAGCTCACGATTACACACAATGGCGTCACACCACTTGGCGAGCTTCCGAACGCACCAGACCGAGACTATAAGGCCCTGATCAAGCTTAAGGATGTCACTGTCACGTTCGACCCTCAAGGCGACCAGTCACGTACCTTGCTACCCTACAACAAGACCAAGGCTACAAGCATCATGGCATTTATAGATGCATGGATCAAGGTCATCCCAACTTGGGAAGTTAGACTATGGAATGATGCGCGCCAGCCAAGTGAAGAAGAACGGGAGTACCTGTACATGTTCCCGGAGATAGTCCATCCATATCCGTAATTAGATTCGATAGATCTCGAACGAGAACTTCAAACTGTTCCTTGTCTTTGATGACCCACTTGATCGTATCAGAGATGGAGAATTTGCTCTTGCTACCGCCGCGTGGGATGTAATACGGAAGGTCAGATTGATCAGGCTGAGATGTCGGGTACCGGGTCCGCAAATCCAGTGACTGATCTTGTATACTTGACGACAATCGATTGCTAACAGCCGTGGAGTGTTCAATCACTTCCTGTGCGCCAGCTTGCCTCAATCCGTAGCGTTTCTGTAGCTTGTGGCCATCTTGCAGAAGCTGACGAATGCAAGCAAGACCGTGGTGCATAACACACGCGATGATGGGATCATCTAGTCGTGTGTCGTAGTCGTTATTGTTGTAAAGCTTCAAACGATTTGCCCATTGTAACAACAAAGTTTTCTGAAAGTCGAGTCTTGTGGCAAGTAGAATATAGTCTTTGTCCATAGATTTTGCGGCACCTATCTGTGACAAAAGCGTGACACAGTCTTCGAAAACCCCGACGAGAGCGAGCGCACCGATAGCGAGGCCCGCGGCTTCCATTGTCGTCGCTCGTCGGGTTCAGATAGCGGAAAGACGATTCGTTGCAAGACGTGCGAACCAAAGTTTGTGCGCTCAGCCAAAACCGCGGCTTGGTGATTGTGCTCAGAGGTTAAGCGCCAGCGTCGCGTCTTATCTACAGTGCCCCGTTCAGGCTGTGCAGCCTGTATCGAGGGGTAAGCATGCATAGCCTCACGACTTTACTTAGGTGTGTGTGCCAGCGAAGCGGCCTCAGCTCACTGGTTATGTCGTGATGTGTTGCGACACCACCGACGCCACTTTCCGCAAAGTCAACAATGCACGTCTACCTTGCAGAAAAGGCATGCTTCAAGCATGCCGACAAGTAGGTGGCTGCGTCTCGCCAGCCTCTGCGCCATCATTCTCGTGCACCGGAAATCAGGCTCAGCTGTAGTGAACGCGTAAGTGACAGCCGGCGCCTCACAGGCGAGTAACTTTGGGAGAAAGGCGTCTTTGTGAAGGTTTCTTAAATTTCGTAGAGGGGCATCTGAACAGCTGGGCCTTCAACCTTCCGTCAATGATCTCATGTGTGGCGGCTAGTGCAGCCGCATTGGATCTAGCGTCACGTCGCACAACATGTGGCTGAAGCCAGATCCACCAGCCACCTCGCCCTGCCAACGTGGGTCACCCATTAGCATCACATCAGTATTGAAAAATCTCATCAGGAAGCAGACACATTCCACTGGAAAAACAACATCTCGACCCCCACCACCGTGCCACTCTACCCGTAAACTTGGCGGGCTTCGGTATACCTTGTCAGGCAAACGCCGCGATCGGACCATTGCTACTCCGACATGACTCGGGACCAAACAAGGCCTCCGGCACTGTATCCACCCAATTACAGTAGTCAGATCTGGGCGATCTTGGTACTGACCACGTGCGGGAGGGAAGAGTGCATGAGGCTCTGCCCCGTTCTACGGTGGAGCATGCGCAGGGCGAATGTGGAGAGTGTGAAGCACATGACGTGAAATGCGCGAGAGGAATTATGCGTCGTTAGTAATAGTAATTGAGCATGACACACATCATCCAGAAAGCACGACGAAGCGAAGGGATCATTGTTGTACATGTTCTTATTCATTCATCGTATCTCATGATCATATGGACCTGTTTGGTATCATCGTTATGGGTATCAGCCAGCGGCTCAACCGCTTGATCGTGCTCTGCACTGCAGGCAAGATCTGGTGGAAGAGCTTGCTCAGGCCTTCTCGTTATGGTTGGAGCCGTCAACGACCTCAACTGCCTTGACACCGTCCTTCTCGCTGTGCATGCTGCCAGTCTCAATATCCTTGACGGGCTCAATGTTGGCACCGATAGGACCAGCCTCCTCGAAGTGACGACCCTTCTTCTCAGGGCCAAGAGCAGTAGTGACAGCAATACCGAGAGCGATGATTGCAGTCGCAACAGCCATGACTGGTCCGTAAGCGGGAGACTGCTCGCCCTTTGCAGTGCTGATCATAGTGGCCTCGGCGACGGCGTTGACGATCTGAGCAGAGGGCGAGGAAATCATGTTTCCGAGCTGGTAGGTGATACCGACGAAAGAGGATCGGAAAGCAGGTGGTGATAGCTCGCTCAAGTGGATGGGAATGACACCCCAAGCACCCTGGACGAAGAACTGGATCATGAAGCCAGATGCGGATAGACCACGCTCAGTGGTGGGGAGGACCCAGGCGGGGATAAGGCAAGCGGAGATCAAGGCAGCGCAGACGATCATGCGGCGACGACCGAACCATTGCGAAGTGTATCCAAGAATGGTACCACCTACACAGGCACCGGTCTTCATCAGGATGGAAGCACGGGTAGCACCTGCGGGGCTGAGATGCTTCTGCTCCTTCATGAAAGTAGTGTAGCTGTCTTGGCTCGTGTGGGAGTAGTAGTTGAACTGAAAGATGTTAGCGGCAGTTCATCAACTTAGAAGCGGCTTGTCATACCCAAGTCATGAGAATGATGCAGTAGACACACATCTTCCACTCCTTGCGAAGCATCTGCTTTGTCTCGGCCCAGAAGGCACCGGGCGCCTTCTTGTGTCCAGCCTTCTTTGCCTCTAGGAACTGCTTCGATTCAGGGAAGCATACGCGGATGAGACCGACAGCGATCGAGAAACCGGCGCCGACCCAGAAGACGGTCTTCCAGGTGTTGGTCGCACCACCGACACCCAAGTTGGCGCAAGCTGCGAGCACATAACCAAATGAGTAACCTTGCTGTAAGATACCACTCATGAGACCACGGGCGTTGACCCTGCGAATGTCAGTACGGGACTTTCATGTAATTAATCAGATGTGCTTACGGGCAGTTCTCAAGCGCCATGGAGATGGCGTTTCCGTAAACACCTCCCATGAAGAGACCGAAGAGACTCCGTACAGCCAAGAATTGCTGGAAAGTTCCAGCGTAGATGGTAGCAACCTGGAGAAGACCCAGGATGATCATGTTAAGAACCATGGGCCACTTTCGACCGAACTTGTCGCCGGCCACGCCGAACCTTAGTATGCAGTCAGTATGTGTCTCACATACAGTTCGTACATGGGTATTACTAACATAGCTGCGCCAACGGAGCGGAGAAGCAGTGTCAGGGTGATGGCCGTCGAGATAGCAGTGTTTGAGGTGTCGTAGTAGTCGGCAAGCTTGGTAGTCTGAATTGACAGCGCGTGGAAGTCAAAGGCATCGGCAGTCCATGCGAGGAATCCGACAAGGAAGTACAGCCAATCCTTCAATCTGCAGATGTAGAGGTACGAAGTCAGTATATGTCTCACATGCACTTCGTACAGTCAGAACTTACCCGAGTTGAGCGAACAGGCTGATAGGATTCTTGAGAGGCTCTGGCTTTTGCCACTCGCAGTGCTCCTCGCCGTAGTCATTGCGAACGACTACACGTTGGTCCCAAGTGAAGAGATCCTTGAGACTCTGTTTGGCGGTGGGGATGATGCCCTTCGCCAATGGGTCTGCTGGGCGGTTGGTGCTCGCCATGGTGCTGATGGTAACTTGAAATGAGCTTGGAGGCAATGAGAAGGTAAGAAGACTGCCCTGTAGATGTAGGCGCAAGTCCGATCGCACTGCTGATTTCAAGATCGAGCGCGGGGGAGCTCAATATATACCCGCAGTCATCTTGGCTGACCAGAACGCCTCGTAACGATACTATCAACGCCCATGTCAGTCAGCCGCTGTGTCTTGATGCGAGCCAAGTTCTGCCAAGTCCGTCCGTGCAGTTGCTGTAATACGATTTGCAGTGAATGTAACCATCTCCGGTCCGCCAAGAGCGCTATTTTGCACTAAGCCTTCCGGTGGGCCAAGCTAGCGCTTGTGCGCAAGTGACAAAACAGAACATGTCCCGGGGTCGGATCGGACGTATCAGTGCGTTCTCTCAGAGCGGAGGAAAGAAGTGGGTGTGACGATCCTACGACGCCGTTGACATCTTCCCCATGGGGTCGCCCTTTCGATTTCCCGCAAACGTGGTAACTTTCCGACTACAGATTGCGCGACCACACCACAACGACTTCATTGATATGCGTAGTAGCACCGAAAACCGTTCTGTGCTTGTGTCTGACCAAGCTCCGTAAGCGCTGGCGAAGCTTCCTCGCGAGACTTGCTCGCAAAGAAGCTTCGAGCCAGTGAAGCAGCCACAAAACTTGGCGACTGACCCCGCAGCGAAGAGCTGTGCCGCCGCGGCTGCCGAAGCTTTTCTCGCCTCGTTGTAAGCCAAGATGGAGAACGGCACATACGACGGCCAAGATGCTTCGTCGTCAGCCGAGCGCCCTTGAGTGGGCTTCTTTCAACACCCATCCTTTGTTCATAGAGGCCCGTGGCAACGTCCCAACACCGCGCCTTCAGCTATTGTTAGTGATCGGACAATACGCATCCGGTCAAACTGTTGGTCTGGACTGCTTCTGGTGTTTTGTGCGGACTAAGCACTGGCGCAAGGCCCGGTGGTGCGGCTTGCGGTCCCTGGGTGGTTGGATGTTTCGCGCACGCGGCAGAGTGAACAGCAAGCGCGCACGAGACGTGAAGCGTGAGCGGGGACAATGCGGTCTTGGCGGTAGAGGTGTGCTGGCTAACATGACCTGACCTCAACCTTGCTGGTGCGCGAAAAGACCAAATATGGTTCGGTAGATGCTCAGGATTGGGTGGATGAAGGAGAGATGTGGGGATGACGGCGGAGGCGATAACGTTTGGACGGGGGAAGGCCCCCCGTGTCCTCGCTAAATCCTTCACACCAAGACTCCGAGTTCAAACGCCGAAACGACTACAATTACTCGTGTGTATTCTTGGACGTGGTAACAATTGCATAATATCGTATCCACAGTTGTGGCCTGAGGAAGGGCATGCGCCCACGGAGGCCACATTTCTTCACGGCTTCCGGTTCGAGCCCCGAGACTCTGGCTATACGCGCCGAAATTGTGCCTGATTAAATCCTTCGCAATAGTAGAATTCGGGATGAACTACCACTATCTAGCCGAAGATTTGCGTAGCTCGAACGGATGCAAGCCACAACCCCATCTTCACCGGAAGACCTACAATGGTTAACCTTCTCAAGAGATAAGGGTCTGTCTAATTTTGAAACGGATGGATTGACTTGCGCTCTAGCTAGATCACCCACTTGCGCATGCATCATGCATTCTACTCTTCCAACTTGGCACAGATCTAGGCACAGCGGGATATGGGGAGGCGAAAATACCGAACACGGTCCTGGCAGCGACACCAATCACACGCCGTGCGAATCCACCCGGTAGCTTCTGGCCCTGCATAAATGCGGCTCTTAGTTCGGATGTGGCAACTGCTTTTGACCGCGGCCGCAAATCCATGCGTCTACGCGGGATGTAGATCGTTCGACTTCCTCGAGTGATCCGGAAACACTTCTTCTGGGCGATATCAAGTCGACTTGATGGAGCAAGACAAGCGTTGGCATAGTCGTAGCGAACATTCAGATGCACTAGTTGAAGGCGTTGAGCACAGTATGATGAGTATATGATCGCTATTCGGTGCCGTATTCCGACAGAAACGTGGTAGTCACTGCCATCACGCCGATCGCGGTCACGACAGGATGAGACTCTCCGATATCCATTCCCTCATCAGGGAAAAGAGGTATCGCTCCCTCGCTACAACGTCACGACAGGTCACTGAAAAACAAGTCCGTTAGTCGGAATACCAAGGCTTGATACCAAGACTCACGAGGTACCTCGTTGATCATTTTTCACGCTGCTAAAGCAAATGCCTACCCTTTATGCCCTCTTGCCTTCAGTTTCTTCGCCACCCGGCCAGCCTTCAGCGTCTTACCACGCTTCGCATTCTGCCTTGCTTGTGTCCTAGTTGCAACGGCGCGCTCCCCTGGGTTGGCTACGATGTTCTGCAGACTACTGCCGCCGAGCAAGGAGTCGCACCTTGTCTTGGAAACAGTGAGCAGTTCTATGATCCTATTCATCCGGTGTTGGAACGTCCAGCTTCGTGTTCGCCCTGCTGATTCCCAGAAATTATCGTCGAAAGAATGCAGTGCCGATGGCCCAACCCGGTGCAAGCGCTCTACAAGATTCTCAATATTCCAGCAAAGGATGAGTTTATCTAGAAAGAGGTAGTAGTTACTTGGCCCTTTCACGGGATCAGTCCAACGCTTCTTGAAGTCTTTGCCTTTGTTGCCTTGGGTATTCTTGACGTTGTTGACGGCATCGAGAAGGTTTTGGACCCACTGCTGGCGGTGCGCATCTGACGTTGGAAGAGTGTCGTCGTTGATGGGTGGGCTCCAATCAGGTGACGGCATGGCAGCCATGGCCTCATCAAGAGAAGCATACATATCGGACGGGTGAGCGGGGTGTGCGTAGCTCTGTGGGCCTTGGTGAGTAGTAGGTGATGCAATAACACGAGGTTGGTCAAAATGTTGAGCAGAGTACTGGGGTACGAATACTGGGTTGACAGCTGGTGTATCCTGACCGTAGCCAATCTGTTGACCCATGTTGCCGTAGTTGACGTAGTTATTGCCGTAGGTTCTTGACATAATGGGAGACGAATACAGTCTTGCGTCCGGGAGAAGCCACGGAACACTCGGAGCATCCCATGCGTCCTGCTCCTGCTCTTGTTGTGAATTCGGAGGTACCATCTTCGGATCTGTGTGCCTGACTGTTATACTGTCCTAAACTGGGGTTGAGTTGTGTCTCGGCGATGTATGCTGATAGTCTAAACCTGAAATAGAAGGCGCAATTTACCATAAGAGGCAGGTGGTGTGAATGCACCTGTGCACCTTGCCAGGCGAAAGAATGATCGCGTGAACGCCAGGGGCAAGCAGCGCAACATCGTGAAACACCAGCACCCCCGAGCGGTGAATGGAACGCATTGATCTGTTCTTCTCAAATGAAGCAAGCACGCGAGACGTCAAGACGATACGGGCCAGCATTGATGCCCATGAGACTGTTCATCGTAAGACGTAACGCGTCGCGTCGCAACGCGATGCAGTGCGCGCGGAACCAGAGTAGGCTGGGAATTCCAGTTCGAGATTTGGTGTTTCTTCTCCGAAGTCTCCAGACAGCAGCGAGCGCGAAGATGATCGTCGCTTTGTGAGACTTCGCCAGTTTGCAGTAACGTGGATCAGAGGGAAGCCACGTACGGAAGACGCGGGCGTGCAATTCGGAGCACGTACCAGTCCTGGCTAAAAAGTGACGTCACGCGCCGATGATCCGGCCACCAGGGCAGAGATGTTGCTCACCATCACAACCACAACATCGAAGCCCACGAAAGTCGCATTATTCAATGAAAAAGCACCCGTTTGATTGCAAATTATCATCCACGAAATAGCCACAGTGGTCAGTACACGCGTGCTCTAGGGTCGCTTTAGAAGGTGCAAAGCACATCTAGGCAAAAGACGAACAAGTCTGCGAGACGATAAAAGGTTCATGTAATTTACTACCAATCCATGAAAGTGCCAAAATTTTGAGAGAAGCACCAGTACAACGGTCCGCCTCAGCTAAACTTGGAACAGAAGAGGACGCAATCTAGCGAGGAAGGACGGAAATCGTCACTACTACCCATTTTAATCCTCATTCTCATCGTCATCATGCCCCATTTCCCCAGCCTCCGTCTCCTTACCCGCAACAAGATCATCCTGTCTGTTCCGATTGTGGTGATAGTTACTCCTCGTCTGTCTAATAAGCAACGGCGCCGTAGCAACCACCATCTCCAGCCCCTCAAACTTGAGCAGATTTCCACACCTAGCCTTGCTGATGCGCATCAGCTCACACACCTTGTCAATGCGCGCACTGAATGTGTAATCGCGGTACTTGTACACGTTCTCCAACTTGCCTTGGTCGTAGACGTTGAGAGAGATGGGGCCATGGGTGTGCAGGTTAATGGCGATGGCGAGGAGGGCATGACAGACTGTGGTGATCATAGCTGGCGTGGAGGGGGAGGTACCGGACGAGAGGTTAGCCCAACGAAGGTCGAAATTGGCAACAGTGGCGCTGTCGATGCATTGGGTGATGTCGGTGAAGGCGTCGTACAGCCGACGAATGTAGAATCTGCGGGCCGCTTCGTCTTGGGGAAAGCTGCTGTCGTTTGCCAGGGGATGATAGTTGTGGTGAATGACGCGGGTGGCCGCAGCTTGTTGTGCTTCATCGAGGTTGGCAAAATGCATGCTTTGGGGGAGAGCGGCGGCAATTGCGCGTGGTACCTGAGTGGGCGCCTTTGAGAAAGCAGGAATTGCTACTTGTGGCGTTGTTGGAAGTGTGAAATCTGGACGCCACGATTGATCTTGCATTGGCTCGGGGGTCGGCACTGTTGGTCGCAATGCCATAGAGTGACGTCCGGCTACTTGTTGTTGCGATGTATCAATCATGGCTTGGCTTTGTAGTTGTAACTGTTCTTGCATCCACGGTACTCTTGCTTGAGTGTATGGCGGATAAATATGTTGTGGTGTTGTCAGTAATGTCTGCGGCTCATTGAGCAAACCTTGAGATATTTGTGCATGCTGGCGAGTTCTCGCAAGAGCGACCATGGCGGCCGCACGAGCATCTTGCAGACTCGTATCATTCAACCCTATTGGTGTATAGCGTATCTCGTTATACGGATTTCGTTCTTCGTGCCACTGTGGCAGCTGATGGTACTGGCTGTCGCTCCGCGCCGGGGAGAGGGGAACATCAATTTGCCAGGACTCAAGGTCCATATTGTCCATGGTGAACTCACCAAGATCGGCTTCTTCCGCCTTGATGGCGGCGAGAACCTCGGGATGAATGGCGCCAATGACTTTGTTGAACAGATCATCAATGGTCTCTGCGTTCTGGCAGTTGTTTTCTCCAACGGCGTCTTTCGCTTGTTCGTTGGCCAGCGTAGCGAACCGCGGATCTTGATCTCCTTCAGACATAGCTGGTTGTGGTTGCGGGTTCATCGTAATTGTGACGATAGTGTGTTACTGTAGTTCGGAAAGAGCTGGTTCTGATGAAAGCTTGGGACTCGGTTGCGTACGCCTTGAGACGGAGTCGTACTGAGTGACGTTACTTCAGACGCCAGGAAGGAGAAACTCATGTGTTTACTGGTGAGCTGACATTGTGAAGCACTTCTGTGAGGGTAGTGGAACATTGTGGTGGAATAATTGCCTGACAAGGGCACCATCGAGGTGAGTTTCCTCGCAACTGGATATTTCGCTGGGTAAATGGGTGGAACTGGCGCTCTCGTTAATCTAATGCCATCGCATTACAAAGTGAGGCGCGAGTGGCAGATTGAGAACGAGGGGGGTTGTATATTGGTATATTTGTATATAGTGGGACGTGTAGTAATAAAAGAAACGCAGAAGTGCGATCATGAGATAGAAATGAATGTAATAGACGCAAGCATCCCGTATACGTATCGAACCATGGTGATACTAGAATTGTCCCCGGCTTGATCCCAACTTTGAAACGTTTGCGGTCAATCGGCCTGGTAACTGCGAGACAAGCGTGCAATCCAGGGACAGGCGGCAAAGAGATCCCCGGAGTGGTCCGCAAGAAGGGGCGTAGAGCTCTCATGAGAGGTGTCGAAGTAAGTGGCGCTTTCAATGTCCTGAAATTTGGAGGTTCCAGATGGTCACAAACGGAGAAAGGCAAACCATTTCGAACAGCACTCACAAGCGCTCTGCGTCCCTCCTTGCGGACCACTCTGGTGTTCTCTCTGTAACCTATCACGGGAATGACATGGTCTAAGCAAGAGTGGCGGCCGCAAGTCCAGTGGTGATGTGCTGGACAGTGGACGACCCAGAGAGTAGAGGGTGATCAAAGAACCCCATGTGCTCGAGAGCATTGCGAACAGCGGCGAAAGATGCATCTCGTGCGTCTACGTGTATCGCTCCCACAATGGCTTCGAAGGTGTTCGCCACCATGTCCTTAGATGGGCTGCTCATGCCCCGGTTCATGATGATGAGCTTGTCCAGTCCAAGGCTGAACCCACGTTCAGCAAACTTCTCATTGCTGACGAGATCGTTGCGCATCTGGGTCCAAGCTGCGAGGCTGTAACGCTCACCTGGTATAATCAGTATCGAGCTATGGTGAGCGCTGTAGTTTGGAAATACCCTTGTGATCGCGCGCTTCGTACCACATAGTAGCTAGCACAGCATCGATGACAGCGTCTCCGACCAACTCGAGGTCTCTGTTCTTGTGGAAGAGATAGATTGTTCCCTCGACGCGAAGAGGACAATTCGGTTCCTTCATCTGCAAGGCTTCTGCACATAGCAGCTTGTTCTGTAAGTGATACCCAGTCATGGTCTGGACTTGCAGGATGCGGCTGTCCATGTCGGTCATATTTGCGGGATCTCTTCGGTTTCTCGGCTAGACTTTGGTGATAGACAGTATAGCTTTGTGGGTATTTCCTACAGTCAACGACAGATGCATGGCTTTTATTCATCTTTTGGATGTCTCTGCCTAGCGATCGATCCATTGCAGACTTCACCGGTGACTGCGCCACACTAGATTGTTTCGTGTAACCACACCGTAGTAGATGTGTCACTGGCAAAGGAGCAAGGCTGACAGCCCCTCGGTTCAAGAAGCTGTGCCATGGACTGCATATGCATCGATCGATTGGCCGTGAACCGCTGTCAGAAGCGTTCGGAAGCTGCATCATGTAAGATAGGACGTGCTGGACAAGACAAATGAATCAATGTCAATTGAATTTCCCTGCAACAAAAGGAGCGTGGTCTGTCATTAAAACAAGGAGCGATGTAATGAAGGGCAATTCTTCTGGCAGTGGAGTGCCCTTAACCCTGCACCCCATATGACGATCAGAAGTGCGACGTTGAGATCAGCACCTCGAGGGGTTGTCTACGAAGGACCAGGCTGCATACTTCCGGTGAGCTTCCGCAAGGCTTCCAGGCAACTGCCTAAGTGCCCGGAGGAGGAGTGCCGTTCTGCTGCATGCATTAGAAACCATATGAAGAAGACACGTTGATAATGGCGCAGTGGAATCCGAGAGCGCAGGCTGGTAGACCCAAGCGGGTGCGGCGCAGCTGTGGCTGAGATTTGATGGTCGAGACATCCCCAAATTATCGAAGCGACAAAGAGGCGTCCCAGAAACGTCTTTTCCTTGCGTTCCAGTCTCCTCACTGGGGCGCAAACGCAGTGAGAAGCAGAATGAGACGCCAACTATTCGTTAAGAGAATTTGGGGTTGCCTTGTCTAGCAGATCCCAGAGGCAGCTGTGCCGGGATCTAGAAGTTTGCACATCAGTCAACATAGCATCGCTATTCATAACGGGAAGAGGAGGATTTGAGACGTTACCGTGAGGAGCTCATGGTCGAAGAAACCGAGAGATTGCATGACGCGCTGGACGGCCGCATCTCCACCATCCTGATAAACCGCACCAATAACAGCTTCAAAGGTCGTGGCCGCCATTTTTGGAGACACGACAGGCTTGCTGTCAGCCGTAATGACGCATTGATCGAGGCCAACCTGGTATGCCCGGCGTGCCAGCGCATCGTTGCTCAACGATTCGTTGCGCATTTGCGTCCATTGCGCCTGAGAAAGCACTTGGCCTGATGTCTTCAGTACCCCGCAGCACATGTGCTGAAGGAAAACGTTTCTTACCTCTCGGATTGCGAGCATCAAACCAGACACTGCACAGCACCTTGGCGAGCACTGCATCGCCCAAGACAGACAACCTTTTGTTGTTGTTCAGGCCAAGAAAGGCACCGTTGCGTATCAGCGCAATCTGCGGAGCAGCCATTTGGACAGCCTCGACAGCAATGCGCCTGTCAGAGAAGATATACCCGATTGATTCCTCAACTTCGCGCGCCTTCGTTTCGGTGTGAATCATTGTGGGATTTGGGAACTGATATGTTGATGGGTCGAGATAGGACGAAAAAGAGGTTGCAGCAACTGTGGTGTGCTTCGCGTGATGATGCAGCTTATCCGGGTTTTCTTGGGCTACAGGCTCTGCGAGAGACTGCTGTTGTAGCGCACAGAAATAGCAGGTTGCCATCAATATCAGCTCGAGAATTAGCCATACAGCTTTCGATAAGATGTCCAGACCGGCATGGCCAACGCCGTGAGAACGCCTTTGCCTGCGCAATGATCGCATCCAGACCCCGGCGTGCCGACAGCCGTTCCTGATGAGCGACGGCGCTACGCCAAACCTCTAGCTTCTTCCCAGCTAGCACCACCCTACGTCATTCCAAAAACGCATGAAAACAGGCATCATGGGGTTCCCGCCAAGCGGGATTAAACGTTAAGAGACTGGGCATGCCAGTCAGTCGACACATTCAGTACTTTTGCTATCCGAATAAGCGGTTCGCGGACGTAACACCGAGACGGATCTACCGGAAAGACCAACCACAAGGGTCTAGTCACTATGGCAGAAGAGATGGTGGTGCGCGGCCCTGCAGACGTCCTCTCAAGCGTGCGACCTGCTGATTTGCTTTCTCGATAAACAGGAGCTCGGATTCGAGGGTCTTGACAAGTTCACCGACAAGTACTTTGACAGAACCTACGATCGTCTTCCGGCATTTCCCAAAACAGGAAAGAAGAAACGCAAGCTACAAGCGCAGCAAAACCAATTCCAGCAAAACGCACAAGGCCCGCCTGTTCAAAACGCACAGCAGTCGTCCTACCCGGCTCAGAACGTTTCGCGAAATCCTGATAAGGAGTACACTTCGCCTCGCTCTGTACCGAAGAGTGTAGACGGCTACAACTCGGACCCAGAGATGTATGCGCCAGACTACAGGCAAGACCGTTATGGCCCGGACGATCGGTACTACGAGACGGAACAGAACGACCACAGGGCGCCGGGACCAGGGTTCAAAGTCCCGCGCGGTCGCGACGGACCGAGTGACACCCGCGACATGCAGGTAGCAGTGCGCTCTACTGTGAACAGTATGCGAGACTTAAACTAACTAACAACAGCCATACCCACAGCAAAGTCAGCCTGACTACGGTCAACAACGCGGATACGGGGGCGCCGGCGGCAGACCAGGTACCCAACGTAGAGGCTCATCGTGGTCTCCGCCGCGCTCTGAGCGACAAGGCCGACGAGAAACGCGACGCCGTCGGTCTAATTCGCGCTCTCGGTCTCGCGACGACATGAAGAGCCGTCTGATTGCGACTGTTGGTGGCGCATTAGTGGGCGGCATAGCAGGCAACCAAGCGACTAAAGGCAAGAAGTACGACACTGTCGCAACGATTGCTGGAGCCATCATAGGCGGTGTTGGTGCAAAAGAAGCCGCGGGCCATTGGGACGAACGCAAAAGGAAGAAGGAGCAGCAAAGGAACGGTGATTGGGAGGAGGACTACGATGACAACAAACGCAGGAATGATCGCAGGAGAGACGACCGATACGACCGTGACGATAGGTACGATGACAGATATGAGCGCGATGACCGGAGGAGATACTAGACATGCTTCAGGATGGTGGGCCCGGGCTGACAAGGTATCCGGGACTTTGGGGCTGGCGCCAGGCGTGCGCGACATTTCTTAGGGGCGAAATTTTCAGCTCCGGTATGGAGTTATGGATGGGGCAACCTGGAACACGATACCTTTGTACGATTTGACGAAAAATGGATGACATGCAGGAGCAGTAAACGTTTGCTGCGGGAATGACGTGCGACGTGCGAGCCATGTCTGCGACGTGATCTGATGCGAAGGGGAGGGGCCACGCGACGGTGGAAGTTCACAGGAGGCGCCAGGGGGCCGACTGTCGGTGCGGTGGTGGGCTGCCGTTCGTAATAATAGCCGACACACGAGGCACATCTCTGTGCTTTTTTGCCGATAAAGAAATTCCAGAAGGCTTCTGGAGGGTGTGGAGAAGTTTTGAAGCGGATGCGGACGTAGCAGACACACTGTGTAGAAATTTCCAAGTTTGATAGCCATGATAAGAGGCAAGGTTGAGCTCGGTGTTATAGCTAAGGCTGGCATGCGGTTTCGAGAAGCCTAGTAGAAGGTTAGGCTGATCCACCGCGTTGCGGGACCAAGCCTCGTCCCGCAATCTATCCATCATCTCTCCGAGCAGCACGCTTCAGTCACAAGAAATTATACACTACACAGCAGCCAGCACGCACCGACCCACTGCAGGTTCCCGAGCTGCCCTGACCCAAGCTTTCCGCCCGCCCAGCTGCAGCATTGCTCAGTCATTGTGCTACCCACCCGCTGCGCTTCGTCTGCATCCCGCTCCTTCGCCGAGCAATCATCTCGCAACCCAGAGACACTCGAGCTGCTGCACCGCGCATACCCACGCACCACCATGAGCTGGTGACTGCCCGACAACTGCATCGCCCCTTCCCCACTACGCACGAGCTCCTTCCCTAACCGTCTGACACCTGCCCCTCGCTCCTTCCCAACCGGCAAGTTTGCCTCTGGCGCCGCTGCCGGCCACCAACACGACGATGCGCCGATACAGGCCTGGAGGAGGTCCCGTGCGGGCTCATGGCGGCGTGCCGGTGCCTGATCCCTTTGCCATGGTACGCGCATACGACAGCGACTCCAATCCCGCCCGCCCGATACGTCCCTCCCCGCTGGCCGCCTCGACGATTCAGGGTCTACCGCTAGACCTGCTCGACCGCCTGCGCTCCTTCCCGCTGTTCCAGGCAGCCCCCGACTCCTTCCTCACCCAGGTTGGCCTGCACCTGAAGCCGCAGCTATACCAGCCTCATGACACAATTCTCACCGAGGGCGAGACGGGCAAGGCCATGTACTGGCTGGTCCGCGGAGCTGTGCGGGTGACATCGCGGGACCAGGAGAGCACATACGCAGAGCTGAAGCCCGGTGCGTTCTTTGGCGAGATCGGTATCCTGATGGACATCCCCCGCACCGCCACCATCATAGCCAACATGCGCTCGCTGGTAGTGCGCCTGAACAAGGAGGACCTCATGAAGGAGCTGCCCGCGTTTCCCGAAGTGGAAGTGGCCATCATGCACGAAGCGCAGGAGCGACTGGCCATTCTGCAGCGCAAGAAGTCAGAGTTAGGAGGCAAGCGCCCTGCGATACCCATGCGTCAGATCACAGGCAAGCGTGACCGCGAAGATGGCGACGTGATCATGGCCGAGAGCGGCACTCTACGCGAAGGAGAGATCAATGCCTTCAAGAAGAGGAAGTCTCCCAGTCCGGGCCTCGCTGAAGCCATAGCCCATAGTGCCTTTGGAAGCGGCAGTATTCATGTGCGGCCGCTGCTCAAAGAGCTGCCTCTCTTCTCCGAGCTGCCCGACGACATCCTCCATTTTATTGGCATGCGCGCACAACCCTGTTCGTTTGATCCTTTCACAGACATAATAAAACAGGGCACACAAGGACGTGACGTCTTCTTCATCGTGAAAGGCGAGGTTGAGGTCATCAGCATGAATGTACCAGAGCAGAACGGTACCACTTCACCCATAGGTCGTCGAAAATCTATCGCCGCGGGCGAGCAACATTTCCAGGAAGTAAAGGCCCGATTGAGGCCCGGGCAATACTTTGGCGAGGTCGTCAGTCTCTCGCTTGCGCCACGCCGCACCGCTACGGTCCGCTCCGTATCGGCTGTCGAATGTCTCATGATCAGCGGTGACACTTTGAACCACCTCTGGGAGAAGTGCACTCCAGATGTACGCCGACAGGTTGAGTCGGTCGCGAAGGAGCGGTTACGGACCGCCAAGGACGAAGATGTACACATGCTGGACGCGAATAGTACACCCAACATCAACGATCTAGCCATAGCGGATCATATAATACCCCGTACACCACGACGCAAGAAGAGTGTGCCAACTGTCACTTTCAATGACACCATCGACATCGACAATCCGGTGACACCCACCCGGAGAGACGAAAAGATGATGGAACCATTTGATCCAGACCCATTTCTTAATGTCGATTTGGACAATGTCAGGTCGAGGTCAAGGAGAGGCTCACTAGCTCCACCCCCACCAGGATCAATACCGGACTCGCCATCCAGCCCAGCAAAAACAGATTTCCCCAAGTCACCATCGCCCGGTGGCTCACCCCTTTCCCCATCACCATCGTTTTCCATATCGAAGCATGCGTCCACTCCACCAGAAATGCCACTCGACTACAAACGCCCTCGGCTAGTCAACAGACCAAGTAGATATGGAAGAGGTATACTGTCGGATCAAGTGCTCACTAAGATTCTCGCGAATCTAGACATACACGAGCTGATGAAGTTGCGTGTAATCTCTTCGCACTGGAACAAGTTGATATCAGAGTCGCCGGATATACTCCACGACCTTGATCTTAGCAAATACAATCGCAAAGTCACGGATCGATCGCTTGTAGACGTAATATGCCCATTCGTAGGCAGTCGTCCGAGATACATCAACATCAGTAACTGCTTCCACGTGACAGACGAGGGTTTCGCCGAGCTGGCAAAGACTTGCGGTCCGAGCGTAAGAATCTGGCGCATGAAGAGCGTGTGGGACATCACTGGACCAGCTGTACTGGAGATGGTGCAGAAGGCGAAGGGTCTTGAGGAGGTCGATCTCAGCAACTGCAGGAAAGTAGGCGACAACCTTCTCGCTCGAGTGATAGGGTGGGTGGTTCCAGAGATGCCACCTCAGATGGCAATGGCGCATGCGCAACATCAAGCTCAGATAAACGGTCGCCGACAAGGAAAGGGTGCTAACCAGCCTGCGCCGCAACCGTTACCGCCTGGTACTGTTGTTGGATGTCCGAAACTGCGACGTCTGACGCTGAGCTACTGCAAGCACATCACCGATCGCAGTATGGCACATATCGCCGTCCATGCCGCAAACCGCATCGAGAGCATCGACCTAACAAGATGCACGACTATCACCGACGTTGGCTTCCAACACTGGAGTGTGTATCCGTTTCCACGGCTGACAAAGCTATGTCTCGCAGACTGCACATATCTGACCGACAACGCAATCGTGTACCTGACGAACGCAGCGAAAGGTCTCAAGGAATTGGATCTCGTAAGTCTATTATCTTCCATCTGATGCTAGACAGAATCTTCTTACTAATGCATATCAGTCTTTCTGCTGCGCCCTCTCTGACACCGCAACCGAAGTTCTTGCTCTCGGCCTCCCTTCACTTACACACCTCAACCTCGCCTTCTGCGGCTCTGCGGTCTCAGACACTTCTCTTCGCTGTATTTCCCTACACCTCCTCGAACTCCGAAATCTCTCTGTACGTGGTTGTGTCCGCGTCACTGGCACTGGTGTTGAAGCTGTCGTGGAGGGCTGCAGAGACCTCGAACGCTTCGACGTTAGCCAATGCAAGAATCTGGGTCGATGGATTGAAGCTGGTGGTGTAGAGAGCGTGAAGAGTCGCGGAAGAAACGTCAAATTTATATGCGTTAGCGATGGGAGGTGGAGAGATGGCAAGGGGAATGTGAGGAAATGATGAGGAAGATGACTTTGTATGGATACCATGTGTATGGTATATGTTAAGACGGCCGCAGCGACACATTTGGCTGATCTACGAAAGCGTGTACATTGGCTCATGATAGAGGAGAACTACGAAACGGATGTCGGCTTGATTGTATGTGTCTCTAGGTGGGGTTTTTCGCATCTACGCAAGATACCAGGCTTTTGTTCGGTGTATTAGCGATGTATTACTTGGAATATTAGATCTCCTTGCTCATTGTGGCGGCTTCTTGTGCGTTCTGATCTCTTCTTTGACGAACTTACGGAAGAGCGAGTATAATCCCTCTTCTTCATATTGTATTGCATGGCGACGATGAGCGAGCACTCAGGGTCCAGCTGTGTCGTTCCTGCATTCTCACGAGACGCTCTAGCTTCATCTGGGTAGGCGTACTGTGGAGCCTAGACTACCCCGGGCCTACACACGCTCGTCATCCTTTGACCCTTTGTTCAACCTCACACAACCGCTCCTGCGCAGACAATCTGAGCGCAGTGTTGTGCTACGCTAATCAGATCTATCTATCTTATCACTCGGCTTCCTTACACAGCTCACGTCGCTCTGCGTGAAGAGTCGCCCGCCTACGATGTCAAAATCAGCGATGGAATCCAATCGTGCCCATATCTTGGGGTAGTTTCTACCTCTCTTAACGAATACCGGTCGCTAACAGACTTTATAGTAAGCTGAGGGAGGTTGCACGTCTCTCAAGCGGGCCTGAATGTTTCTCTGGCGAATATCACCGACTGATAGAGAAAGTGAGAGTGAGCATCGAGGAATACTCAGAATCAGAGTGTCTCACTCTCTGCTCTATGATGCAAGAGAAGATGCCTCGCGAGCTGAGAGATATGGTCTACGAAGCCCTACTTGGTGAACCTCAAAACTACTACGTCGACGGCGATGGACGCAGTCTTGAAGATCTCTTCCCAGCAAACGTTGTGCTCCACAACCCCCATATTGGCAACAAGTTGTTCGTTGGTGAGGAAACACTTACTGAACTGGCGGACATGTGGTATCGGCACTCAGTCTTCAGGCTCTTTGGCGATTCTACCGTGGCTTGTCTTTTTCGCAATGAGTCCTGGGAACTGCCTGATCTCGATCCCGCTCCATTGATACGCCACGTATACATGGCTCTATACCCCAGAGGCCGTTGGGATAACATGTGGGATGGATTTGTGGAAACTGGGAAAGAGCTTCATCTGCCATCGGACTTCGAGCAGCTTGCGAAACTGCAGCAACCGGCGACATTCACAATCGGTACCTACTTCGAGGATTGGGATTATCATGGTAAGACGAGAGAAGGAATGAAGACCTTCGTCGATGCAATGTCCAGAAGGGTTTTTCCAGTGTTGAAGCAGTTGATCGCTTCTGGCGTGGGCGTCACTGTCAAGATATACGAAGCGGAGCTAGAAGTCGGATTGGAATATCTCGACAGCGAGAGTTGGTCGAAGCTGGTACGTGGAGTGCATCTCCGACAGTGAATGAATACAGAAGATCACTCACATGAAGGGATTGTGGCCGATTTGAAGGGTATGAGAAAATATCTAAATTATGTCAAGGTCGGGCTAGCCAACGCCTGATCGAGACTAGCCACGCTTAGCCTCATTCTCCACCTGCGCATCTAGCTTTTGCAAACAACCCGTTAGTCCAGATACCATACAACAGATTCCCTTACTTGCTTGATCCCCAGCATGTCATCGAATAGAATGTCTTTTGATCCGACTCTTGTGTCTAGGTGAGCGCTGCGCTTTCACTCGCAGCGTCTTTACTCACTATCTCAACAACAGTATGCTAAGGGAAGCTCACCGCCACGCAATGCATAGTGCATTACTCCGATACGAAGCGCGCAAACACGTCGAGAACTGGGCAAAATCGTCGTGTCTTAGTCTGTGCACGGAGATGCAATCGCGATTACCCCGCGAGCTACGTGACATGGTCTATGCATCAGTATTTCAAGATTCTGATAGCTTCGTGGTATCTCACGACATCTTACCAGACGTACTGGAAAGCTACCAACATCTCTGCGATACTACATTTGTGGGTCAGGAGACACTCATTGAACTAGCCGAAGAGTGGCATCACCACTGCATCTTCCACCTCAATCTCAACTCCGATGGGCGAGGTCTGTACGATACAGGGAAAAATGTTTGGAATTTGCCCAATCTGGATTTTGTCCGACATATGCGCCACGTACAGGTCGAGATATGTCCTCCATACGTGGATCAAGATGAAGGATCTATTGACCTTGAAGGGATGCCGGAGGGGTGGCAGTATCTGTATAAGCTGCAGCGACCGGCTACGCTCGCCCTGAAGGTGGATTACGACGAGTGGACGGTAGCTTACCGGCCTCAAGATTTGCATGACGACTTCGTGGGGCTGTTGACATACTTGATTAGTGCTGGTGTCAAGGTAATTGTTGAACTTACAACTTCTCATACATCCAACCCCTGTAGCGGAAGTGTTGGTTTGGAACATCTCGAGAACGAGATGTGGTGTTATTTGCTTGACCGAGTGTGGCATGGTCAGACTGGTTAACACATGGAGTCCCTCGGAATAAAAGCAGAAGTAGTGAAAGGCCCTGTGTGGATCTTAATTTTGTTATTCCAAGATTGTTGCTCTTTCATGGAGCAACCCGGCGCTGCCTCCCATCGAGGTTTACATGAAAACGCGTTCAGTCTCCCTGTCTACGTTGCCCGGAGGTTCGATGCTTGCAGATACGACGTCCTAACCGTCTTGTTGTATCCGCCTCGAGTCGTGCGCGTTGCCTTGAGGGTCGCGCTGAGATGATGGTATGATAGACTCTATCCCTCTTACTCCTTCATCCGAACCTCTTGCCGTATCCTTTGACCACGTCGTCTAGTATGGTACGCATCCTCTTGCACCCTTCAATACCCACTGCCAGCATACCCTCTAACCTCTCCATTCGTACCCTGGTCTCCATAACGCACACAGCAACGTTATCGGTATCCCCCAATGTCCCTACCGTCAAGAACGGCAGCTCCAGTTCCTCCTGGTTGTTGAGATCCAACAGCGGATCATCGGCAGACGCGTTATCCGCCGCTGACGCAGAAGCTGAAGAAGCAGCTGTGCAAGCGACCAGATAATCTGTCATAGGTATACCCGCATCAATGAGTGCCAAGGTCGATGCGTTGATACACGCAGCCAATAGCGACCCATCCTGCGAAATGATGTGGACGTTCAATGTAATCGTCGAATGTGGGTACAGATGCAGCAGCAATACGCCCTCAAACGCCGACCTCAGGCAGTGCTCCATCTCACTTGTCCGCTTATCGCTCTTCCTCTTCCTCCGCTCTACACCGCTGAAGCCCGCGAAATTTATCTCGACCTCAACTTTGGCCTGCTTGTCTGCGCCGCCTCTTTGCCCGCTCTGTTTGCCCTCGGCGGGACCGGTGACGGAAACGAGGATCTTGGTGTTGCCCATCTCAAGATATGACGACCCATCGGCGGCGGCTTGCGTGGAGATTTGCGCGTGGATTCGGCGTAGTTCGTTCCAGCGGCGGCCATCGAGGCGGAGGAGCGCGAGAGAGTAGGTGCTGGTGTCTAGCGGCATCTTGGTGGTGTCGCAGGAGTGTGAAAGGGCTGTATATTGCGCGACGCGGTTCTCCGATCCGTGACTGGTTCGTGAAGACAGCTGATTTTGGCAGGGCGTGCAATTGCGCGCGATGATGCGGGCTTGCAGGCTCGAGCTCCAGATTTTGGCGGAAGTTCTTGCAGGGATCTTCTGCTAGTCGCGCCCCGCTTTCACGTGAGAGCGTGTTAGCGTGTTTGGGCAGCTTGGTGGCGCTTCCTTTCACGCTCCACTCCAGGTGCTTCCTTCCGTGACAATCGCCGCAGATCAGGACCGTGCGCCAATATGCGATTGTCAAGCGCCGGTACCAGTGATAAGCTGAGCAAAGTCACACAGCGTTCACGACCGACGCCTGCTACCCGCCACCTCGGTCATCATGTCATTCAGTCGCGACAAAAGAAAGCATCCTCAAAAAGGGATAAGAGCCATCGCTGAAAGCGGCGAGAGCTTTAATGATAGCGACAGCGCGGAAGATGACGATCTTGACATCATCGAAGCGTCTAGGAAAGGTTTGGATCTCTCCCAGTATATTGACGGTCAGTCGATGCTTCCTCGACCTTTGACAATATGCTAATACTTGGAAGTTCTGACTCAAAGCCAAACTCAAAGCCAAACCCAGTCGCAAAAGGCTACAGACGAGGTCACAGAAGACGAAGACGAAGAGGACGACGATAATGATGACGATGCAATCGATGAACCAGAACCACGAACTAGAGATGTCACTAGCTCTGGTACCGATGACGATGAGTTGTTAGAAGCCGAGTACGATACAAGGGCTTTTCACAAAGAATGGACGGGACGCAAGACCGAGAAACGGAAGCGCACCACTGCTGAAACCAACCGAATTCGCAGTGAAAAGAAGAACAAAGCAACGGCTGCAACCAGTATCGTGGGTCGCAGACCTCCGCCCAAGAAAAATGGCTATGGTCCGACAGGCTTCAGTACCGACACCTTAGCCGATGATGAGGGCGCGACAGCTTTCTTAGACGACCCCATTCCTGACTACTTCATATCGCGACAGAAGACACTCAAGAAGTTGCACGAATCTGGACTGCGATACCCTCCTAGTTATCACGACGTTGACTGGGACAACGCGGGCACTGAAGAGAAGCCAGAACTTGACAACTCCGTACAGCAGCAGCGCGAAAAGAAGGACATCAGACTCCGCGGGTCGCATGGGATCATACCTGGCCCCATCGCTCAATGGTTGCGCGACTACCAGGTTGAAGGCGTCCAGTTCTTGCATGAGAAGTTCGTCAAGCAGACCGGTGCAATTCTAGGAGATGATATGGGACTGGGAAAGACTATCCAGGTCATCGCATTCCTCACAGCAGCATTTGGTAAGACGGGCACTGAGCGCGATGCCAAATGCATGCGGAAGATTCGTGGTCTGGGCAAGGCTCGTTGGTATCCGCGGGTACTCATCGTCTGCCCTGGTACGCTCATGCAAAATTGGGAAGATGAGCTCTCCAAGTGGGGCTGGTGGGAAGTCTACAAATATCATGGCCCCGACAAGGCAGATCGGAAAGGCGTCCTCGGCGCTGCAGCTAAGGGCAGGTTAGAGATTATGATTACGACGTACACGACATACCGCAATCATGAGAGCGAGATCAACACCATAGACTGGGACTGTGTCATCGCTGATGAGTGCCATCAAATCAAGAGCAAGGACTCCGAGATCACCAAAGCAATGAACAAAATCAACGCACTGTGTCGCATTGGGTTGACAGGTACCGCGATTCAGAACAAATATGAAGAGCTCTGGAACCTCCTCAACTGGGTACGACCTGGCGCATACGGGTCAGCCCAAGAGTGGAAGCAGAAGATTAGTCTTCCGCTGAAGCTAGGCCAGGCTCACGATGCCACCAACGCTCAGCTTGCCGACTCGCGAAGTCGAGCTCAGGATCTCGTTCACAATATCCTACCTAGTGTCTTCCTTCGGCGTATGAAGACCTTGATCGCTGACCAGCTACCAAAGAAGAGCGATCGCGTCATATTCTGCCAGCTCACCGAGACTCAAGCTGACGCCTATCGAACCTTCCTTGAGAGCGACAGGTGTGAGTACATACGCACTTCAAGGGAAAAGTGCGATTGTGGGTCCGGGAAAAGCAGAGGCTTCTGCTGTTACTCCGATGTCGAAGGCGAGAAGTGGTCAAACTTCATCTTTCCCTGCATGGTCACATTCCAGAAACTCGCAAATCACCTAGCCCTAATCGTGCCAATGTCGAGCGAGAATGCAGAGAAGCAAGACAAAGATCGTCAAACATTGGAGCTAGCCTGCCCTAATACGCACAATGATCTTTTCAAGATTCGAGACAACATCTTGGTGCAGTCTCAGCGAGAGTTCTGTGGAAAATGGAAAGTACTGCGGCGACTACTTGACTTCTGGCACTCGAATGGCGACAAGGTGCTTATCTTCTCACATTCCGTTCGCCTGTTAAGGCTGCTTAGAGGTCTCTTTGATGTCGACGGTACAAAGTACAATTTCTCGTACCTTGACGGCAGCATGAAGTACGAAGATCGTTCCCAGGCTGTTGCAGACTTCAACGCAGATCCGAACCAGTTCGTGTTCTTGATCAGCACTAAGGCGGGAGGAGTGGGGCTGAACATCACGTCGGCTAACAAGGTTGTCGTGATGGATCCGCATTGGAACCCAGCCTATGACCTGCAGGCACAAGATCGAGCGTACCGTATTGGTCAGACACGCAACGTTGAGGTATTTCGACTAGTGTCAAGCGGTACTATTGAGGAGGTGGTCTACGCTCGTCAAATCTACAAGCAACAGCAGGCGAATATTGGATACAATGCATCGGAGGAACGTCGCTACTTCAAGGGTGTGATGGACCAATCCACCAAAAAGGGCGAACTGTTTGGTCTGGAAAACCTCTTCAC